CCCGAAAACCACCTTCAAATCGGGGGACCAGTCCGTTATCGGAGCGCACGGACTGGACAGTCTTCGGTGAGAGAGCACCACACTGCATGCCGTCCCAGGGAAGAACGCCGTATGAACATTCGCGAGTTGCCGGATTTCCCTCGATAAAACATTTATTTTTGACAACATGAATGCATGTTTTTCTTTGAGATGTTCCGATATTTTAGATTAAATTGCGTAAAAAACGGTCTGAAAATTTTGGAAACTAATTTTCACAGTTTTCCCATTAAATTCGATTTTTATAGGAGGAAACTTGGCAACGTCTAAAGGCTCTTACGGCGTTCTTCCTTAGCACGGCAGCACTCAGGGTTGCAGTTTTCCATGAAAAATAAAAGCTTGAAATTTCATGTGAAATATTTCATGAAATTTCAGAAAACTATACAAAATACTGAAACATATTTTTCGAAATTAAACGCAAAATTAAACAAAAGGCGACCAGTTTTTGCTGTTAGGTATTTTTTAGTGCGTGTTGCATACCTAGATCCGGGAAATATGTTTCATATTTTTAAAAACTTTGTGAAATGTCAAGAAATATTTCACGGAAATTTTCAATATTTCATAATTTCAATTTCACCAGTGGAACCCCGATCACACTGCTAACTGCTGCTGCACAACTTGCTTTGGGAAACGCAGAGTCTAGTGGCTAATGTCTTGTTCTACGTGAAATTCTGATGAGAAAATATGTATTACTCGTATGATACGTCAATCTGCACTTTATTCGGTGGTCTATAATGTCTATTCCACCGGAGAATACTTCTTGAAACGGGGTTTTTAGAATCCGCAGAAAAAGATATCGATAAGGGTCGTTTTGGGACCTACTTTTGGCTGAATTTCCTCCAACTCAGCGATTTCTTGTCATAGGATGTCTTTATTTTACGAAATACAACAATTTGGTCTGTCGACGGCTCTCATCCCCTAAACATGGGTCTGAAGACCGGTTTTGAAAAAAATGCGGGTTTTGCAGTCGTCTTCTGAAATATACGCATTTTTCGCCAAAATCGGGTCTTGAATCCATGTTCAGGCTAGAGATATTAGACCCAAAAAGAGACTATGGCAATGACTTGAATCGTGATGTAATCCGTGAAATTTGGCCGTAACCGTTGAGTTGAGGGAATTCAGCAAGGAGGCAAAAACGAGCCTTCCGATCCGATAGTTCGACAAACCGAGTGGTTGGATCCGTATGAAGAACACCTCGCGTTCGACTCATGCAATCTAACTTGTTTTTTTCAGTGTAGATACTCATGTCGCAGGAAATTAGCAATCGTCGCCACTTTGCAAGCGTTTACATTCTTTTCGATGTGAATCAGCTTAATGAAGGCCTGATGGGTTAAAGCCTTCAAAAGCATGATCTCGTCTTGGAGCGCCTTCATTTTTTGTGATACTCAACGCTTTGTCACGGTGTTAGTTTAGTTGCGTGACCCAACTGAACCCAACTAAGGTCATGGCTCCCACCCCACGCTCTCATGAGTTTACCTGTTACTACTTTTCTTTTATGGAGGGAAAAATGTCCACTCTCACTAAAGGTATGATAATCAGTACTTTAATCTTGTTCCTACATTTCTGAAATCTATTCTTTTCTAGTTCTCCACTTTTGGCTTCCAAATTGGCGGCGATTGCTAATTGCCTGCGACATATCGACGGTGAAACTACCAAACCACGTATCTCGGTTTGCGACGTCGGAGACTTCCTGTCATACTTTATTTTTTAAATGAAAAACTACTTAACATCCAGTCTTGAACATTTTTGTGATTTTCCCTCATCGTGCGGAGAAAATTCTGTGAACATTTCAAGGAATGATATTGATTTGGTCTACTTCAAAAAAATAAAATGCGAGCGTAGATTTTTAAACACCGCAAACGAGATACGTGGTTTGGTAGTTTCACCGTCGATATACGCCAATTGTGCGTTTAATGACTCATTCGAGATATTCCTGATGTGCTGAAAGTGTTATTCCCGCGGTTTCACCCATGAAAAGTCTACTTTGTTGGCTGTGTCTCCCGTCAGCAAAGAGACCCACCGGGGATTCTCCTCTCCTACGGCGCGGCGCGGCGCCGCGGTGACAAACCCACGACCTACTCACCATACCATTTTAAGAGGATGTTCACCAGGTGTGGCAAATAAAACACGACAGGTCTCGCCAAAAGTTGTTGTTTTGCCCCCTCCCCCTCTCCCCCGTCTCCTGGGAGTGATAAGGTAGAGCAAAGCGTAGAAGCTCGTAAACGGGCCTATCTTAAATGTGTTTGCGCAGGTTGCATGAATCCAGGCAGCTCTCAAGTGCCTCGCCCATAATTTTATTAATATTATTCTCGTCGGGACGAGGCTTTTAGGGAAACCGCCTCGGGTGAGAAAGAAAGATTCGCTCAGCAAAATAATTCCCCGAACTTTCGACGCCGTCGCCGAGCGGTGTTCGTTCTCAAACGGGGAGAAAAAGAAGAAAACCGCCGTGTACCGAGGAAGCAGTAACTGCAGTAATGGAATTGAGAGAAAATGGACCTCCGGGCTGCGGGCTGATTGATAGACAAAGCTATAGACAAAGAAAACAAAAGGCGACTCAGAAAGACTGTGGAGCGACATTTTCATTGAAACGGATGGCTCTTATAGAATAAGGGGGGGAATGATGGCTTACCTATATGCTGCCGTGCTAGGAAAAACGTCGTATGAACCTTCAGGCGTTGTCTGATTTCCTTTGATACAACACGAATTTTCGGGTAAACTTAAAAATATTTTCCTTCTAATTTATCAGATGATTTTGTTCTTAATTTCACCTAACGCTCTTGAAAATTTCAAGGATACATATTCATAACTTTCCTAAAGAAATAAACATTTTATGGAAGGAAATTTGGCAACTCTTGAATTTTCATACGGCGTTCTTCCTTAACACGGTAGTATGGGGTCTCGAGTAGGTTCCTAATTAATTGGCCCACTACTTGACTCCTTTCTTTATTCCAACCACCCACTTTGACCAATAGGACAACTCCATTTTCGCTTTGCCTTCCATGTCTATCGCTGTATCTATCACTTTTAAAAGTCAGCCTGCTGCCAGTCAATAGTTTCCAATATCAAATCAAGATGACCAAGAATGTTTATGAATGAGCGTTTTTACGCAAAACTGAGTAAAATGCAAAAATCAAGTCAAATACGTGCTTTAAAAACGACGAGTCGTAACAACTGTAGTAATAATCATTCGGGATAATATGCAAGAGCTCATAGGTTGGCTGCCTTTTTCGTTCTTAAGAGCGTCATTATCCAACCTCTAAAATTAGCGACATGCCCCTAATAGGTGATCTACCGCAAACTTCCAATTGACGTACTTCTGCCAAACGGAACTATGTGCATTTTGACGTGAGCCCTATACTATTAAAACAGGCTGGCCAAAAATCAGTACTTTTATGGTACTTTTTCAGTACGATCCCAAGAAATTCCGTACCTCCTCAACAGAAAAATTCAGTACTATTTCAGTACCTCCAATTGACAAAATTTGAAAAAATTAAATAATTTGAATATCTCGCTCAAATTGAGACGAAAATGACAAAAAATAAAGAACGTTCCGGACTTTTTTGCATAATTTCTGCATTTTTTCAGTACTTCCGGACCGCCCGTAAAAAACAGTACTATTTCCGGACTTTCCAGAAATTCCGGACTTGTAGACACCCTGGTTATGCATATCTTCTTATGGGTCTCAGGGCTCATGTCTTGATGCACAAAGTTCCGTTCGGCAGAATTACGTCCAATTTTTCCTCAGGGAGAGTGTAATGTAAAGACCTCTCGATGCGCGACACTGCGGTCGGAGCGGCAAAAGTTGAAATTACCCGGGTGATTTGTGACGGACTGCGAAGAGGGAGCGGAACGGTGAACTCGTCAAAAGACGGATGAGAGTACGTTAAGAATTTAATCCGGCGCCATTTCCCGGGGAGAAGGCACGGATTTTCATGGAACAGGATTGATGGCACAAAGGCATGTAAGCGAACGTTTCCAAGTTCCAAGTCGGAGAGATGCAGTTTTGAGCCGGGCTCCGATCGGAGATATGCAAATTCCGCGCTCCTTGACAAATGAGTGCCCAAGGAAACGAATTCATCGTCTCTTTAAAGTCAAATTAATGCTTCCATCCGCGCTCTTAAAACTGGCGCACTCGGAATCTCGGAATAAAAATCACACAATACCTAGCTTTGACGTCTTACTCGGGAGTGTAGTAGCGCCCGATTTTTGAAATCGGATTTTCATAAAAATTATACTAATGCGTCATGTGCGCTAGTTACGGCATTGTGCTTTCATGTGTCATTCTTATGGATCATCTTAAAAATAATAAAGATCCGTCTAAACAGTAATATCGGTAATACAGTAATAACAGACATATTCGTTTAATAACAACATGGATCCAGTCAATTAGAGAAGTCGGACAAGAATTTTTTGACTAAAACAGCAAAATTTTATGTTCGTTTCGTCACATTTTAAACTTTAAGGGATACTTCTTGAAGGAAATATTACGGAGATACAAGGAAACCGATAGAACCACTTTTAGAACCTCAAATTTGTGTATAAACGGAGTTTTAAGCGTTTAAAGTTTCCAAATTTTGTCCAACCTCTCCTATTGACTCGATCCACTGTGCGTCGCGGTAGGGACAACCTTGGTTTCTTCCACCTTACTTTCATTTGTCCGGGAGACACACATTTTTACTGGTTTCTCAACGTGAAACTCGGATGAAAGCAAGGTGAAAGAAACCAAGGGTGTCCCTAACGCGATGGGTGACGTTATTAAACGAATTTGTCAAAGCGCGATATCTCCGTTGATAATGAACTTAGAGAGCTGCTGATTGAACAGATCTTATTTTTAGCTGATCTACAAGGATCAAGCATCGTAACGCGATTCTGCGACCAGCCAAAATGACCTATTGAATTGATATATCGATGACTAACGAACTGACCCAGCACCCCTGCAAACCAAACCCAAGATGAGAAATTACCTTTTGGAGTCTGAGGTCGGCCAGCGTCTCAACGGCGACGACCCTGTCCTCGGGTGCCGCCTCCACCTCCTCCTCGGAGATCGGCAGGTCCTTGTAGAGGGCACCGTCCAAGTCCGCCCCGAGCTTCCGGTTCACGGCATCGGCGTACACCTCCGCGAAGCTCACCACCCTCACTTCGCTCTTTCCCGGCTTCCGCCCCGCCGCCGCCCCCAACCCCCACGCCTTCTGGATCCGCCCCTGCGCGCACTCCTTCGGGCACTTGGTCGGGCTCCTCGCTCCGGACCCCGTCCGCGACAGCGGCGCCTTCCCCGCTGGCACGAACACCTTCCGCTGACCCGCTTCCGGCGTCTTCGTTTCCGGTCTCTTCACTTCCGGCGTCTTCATTTCCGGTCTCTTCGCCTCCGGTGTCCTCACTTCCGGTCTGCCTGGCTTCCGCCAATCAGGGCTCCGGGTTTGAACTTTGGAGGTCGCTTTCTTCGACTCGGGCGACTCCAAGTCCGATCTTTCGACTTCCGGTCTTGTGGACTTCCCCTTGGCCGTGACTTTGGGGGCGCCTTTCTTTGAATAAACGGACTCGCTGGAACTGGCGAGGGAGGATTTCCCGTCTTGGTTTTTGAAGACCTCCGAAGACTCGGAGTCTGTCCGCTTGGCAGGTTCGTGGTTTCGCCGCTCCGGGAGTTCTTGGAGCTTCTTCTTGGACTCGCTGCAACCATTTATCAACGTGATGCCCTCCGAGGACTCCGAGTTGACCCTCTCCTGGTTGCCCCAGTCCACGACCCTCTTGGCCGCGCCGTTGGCCTCGACGACCGAGTTCCTGATGACCTCCGACAGCTCCGAGTCGGATCTCTCGACGTGCTCGTGGTTCCGCTGGAGGCGCCGCCTCCTCGCCGCCAGCTTCTCGTCCTCCGGGCTCCGCCCCACGTCCGCCAGCTTCTCGTCCTCCGGGCTCCGCCCCACGTCCGCCTTGAGGACCTGGCTCACGATTCGCGGCTTCGCGCACCCGTCCGTCACCGACGACATCGACTCCTGGCCGCTGTCCGAGTCGCTCGGCGCCCGCGTCGCGTCGTCCACCCTCACCCGCGTCACGTCATCCGCGCTCCCCCGGGTGATTACATCATCGACTCTGACTCGGGTGACGTCATCCACGCTCCCCCGAGTGACGTCATCCACTCTGACTCGGGTGACGTCCCCGACGTTGACGATGGAGACGTGCTTCTTGGCGGGTGCAGCGGGTTTGAGCGGGGAGACGCCGGTGGGTTTGCGGACGCCCGGTTTCTTGAGTGTCCGCTTCGCCGTGTCCGGGCTGTTGCGCAGGGAGCTCTCGAAAACGCCGAGCTTGAACATTTTCTCACTGGTTAGAGCCTTGCATTGGACCTTTTTCAACAACTCGTTGGATGAAAATGACCGGTGCGATCGGTTGTTTCACTTAGGGGATGACGAAACACTGATGAAACCACTGAAGACGTTCGATTGTAAACTTCAAAACGATGTTCAATTACTGATGGATTACTGTGCGTTTGTATCGACTATTACACCACGTTCTGCGGTCCGTTTTTTGTACAATGGTACTAATAGAACCATTTGAAGGAAGTGTTTACGGTGGATTGTAAACTTTAAAGTGCTTTTCAGATACGCATTATTCATGAACTGTTCCGTTCCGTTTGATAAATCGATTTTAGTGATGGTGAAACGCGTAAATTTTTGTTCGCACTCACGGACACATACACTTCAGTTGAGTTTGATTTTTCACTTTACGTCGCAAAAAACTTGAAATATTGTGATCACCTGTTAAAGTAAGCATTAACGTTATTCAGAGAGGAAAAATTTCGATTACAAGGAGCGAACTAAGGTTCATCAAAAGGCTTCTAGCTCAGATTATCTATATCGGCCGCACAGAAATTCAACTTTAGTACAGATACTATGGTCTCCAATACGGAATACGAATCTTAGGATAGCTATCAGAACTATTGGTTACCTGCACCAGTGGCGCTTCGCGACATGTCGATTGATCTACCATTTAAACCTATGGAAAAGGATCGATAAGCATGGTGTTTGCAACGCATACCTTACTTTACTAATCGATTCTTTACCATAACTTCAAATGGCAAAATATCGATATTCGATCATTCACGCTTCGCCACTGACCAGCACCAAATTGCAGTTTCTTTTACCGACAAATTGTGTTGACTGGACCGAAAACTGGTCTTCAAAATAAATGGAGATATCGTCACCTCCCGGCCAAAGTATCACAAGCGCTGAGTGACGTTTCAAAATTTCCGCCACCGTTTTATTTTTTTACAAAGAAATTGTTGGTTGAATCTGTTCGAGTTTCACTGAATTTTATCGGGGCCACAATTGAAATGCAGTGAAATTTTCGGACAGCTTCGTTGAACAATTTCTCCGTAGAAAATTAAACAAGCAGGAAGCACCAACGCATTCGCGTCGGAGAGCGGCTCTGGCGACAGTAGTTGTAGTCAAGAATGAGGGCCTAGACACATTTTGTCACTGATGTACAATCCGACAACTGTCAATTCATGTTTCGTAACTTAGCAGATTTATGTAGCCGGTGTATAAATGTGTATTGGCCCTTGATATGCAGAATGCATGGCACTATCACTTGTTGTATACTTTTAATTTTGAAGGCTCTNAATAAACGGACTCGCTGGAACTGGCGAGGGAGGATTTCCCGTCTTGGTTTTTGAAGACCTCCGAAGACTCGGAGTCTGTCCGCTTGGCAGGTTCGTGGTTTCGCCGCTCCGGGAGTTCTTGGAGCTTCTTCTTGGACTCGCTGCAACCATTTATCAACGTGATGCCCTCCGAGGACTCCGAGTTGACCCTCTCCTGGTTGCCCCAGTCCACGACCCTCTTGGCCGCGCCGTTGGCCTCGACGACCGAGTTCCTGATGACCTCCGACAGCTCCGAGTCGGATCTCTCGACGTGCTCGTGGTTCCGTTGAAGCCTCCGCCTCCTCGCCGCCAGCTTCTCGTCCTCCGGGCTCCGCCCCACGTCCGTCTTGAGGACCTGGCTCACGATCCGCGGCTTCGCGCACCCGTCCGTCACCGACGACATCGACTCCTGGCCGCTGTCCGAGTCGCTCGGCGCCCGCGTCGCGTCGTCCACCCTCACTCGCGTGACGTCATCCACGCTCCCCCGGGTGACATCATCCACTCTGACTCGGGTGACGTCATCAGCGCTCCCCCGGGTGACGTCGTCCACTCTGACTCGAGTGACGTCTCCGACGTTGACGATGGAGACGTGCTTCTTGGCGGGTGCGGCGGGTTTGAGCGGGGAGACGCCGGTGGGTTTGCGGACGCCCGGTTTCTTGAGTGTCCGCTTCGCTGTGTCCGGGCTGTTGCGCAGGGAGCTCTCGAAAACGCCGAGCTTGAACATTTTCTCACTGGTTCGGAAGTTGCATTGGATTTTTTTCGACGACTCGTTGGGTGAAAGTGTCCGGTAGGATCGGCTGTTTCACTTTGGGGAGGACGAAACACTGATGAAACCACTCAAGACGCTCGATTATTAACTTTAAAACGATGTTCAATTACTGTGCGTTTGTATCGATTATTAAACTACGTTCTACGGTCCGTTCTTTGAACATCGGTACTAATAGAACCATTTGAAGAAAGTATTTACGGTTGATTGTAAACTTTAAAGAGATTTTCAAACACGCACTATTCAGTTAGGCGTTTTCATGACTGTTCGTTCCACTCCGTTTGATAAATCGATTTTAGTGATGGTGAAACAATGATAAAACCGTTGAAGACAACAAATTCACGCGTACATTTTTTTCGCACTCACGGACACATGCACTTCAGTTGAGTTTGATTTTTTACCTTACGTCGCAAAAAAATTGAAATCTTGTGATCAATTGTTAGAATAATCATTAACGTTATTCAGACAGGAAAAATTTTGGTTGCAAGGAGCGAACTAAAGTTCAAAAAAGGTTCATCAAAAGGCTTCTAGCTCAGATTATCTATATCGGTCGCACAGAAATTCAACTTTAATAAAGATACTATGGTCTCCAATACGGAATACGAATCTTATAGGATAGCTATCAGAACTATTGGTTACCTGCACCAGTGGCGCTTCGCGACATGTCGATTGATCTACCATTTAAACCTATGGAAAAGGATCGATAAACATGGTGTTCGCAAGGAACACCTTACCTTACTCATCAATTCTTTACCATGGCTTCGAATGAGGAAAATTCAATAATCGATCATTCAAGCTTCGCCACTGACCAGCACCAAATTGCGGTTCCTTTTACCGACAAATTGTGTTAACTGGATCGAAAACTGGTCTTCAAAATAAAAGCGATATCGTCACCTTCCAGCCTAAGTATCACAAGCGCCATTTGACGTTTCAAAATTTCCGCCGCCATTTAATTTTTTTTAACAAAAAAATTGTTGGTTGAATCTGTTCAACCAACAATTTCGCTGAGTTTTAGCGGCAGCACAATTAAAATTCAGTGAAATTTTCGGACAGCTTCGTTGAACAATTTCTCCGTAGAAAATTAAAATGGTGGCGGACATTTTTAAACGTCGCATGGCCGGAGGGTGAGGATGTTGGCTCCGTAAGTGGAGCCTTTACAAGTCTTGCAGTTCTCAGAAATCTTTTTTTTCTTCCGAGCATGGTTCAACCATCACGGGCGATTGTCTCGGTAATAATAACATTTGCGACTGGCTGTGAAATTCTCGAGTTTTAAGAGAATAACAGCGTCTCGCTGGAAACAAAACTTGCATGATATTCCTAGCACCGTAATTTGATTCGTCCGCCGCACCAAAAAAGTTTAATTGGAGGAGTGTTGAAATGCACCAAATACGGCATCAGCAGGAATGAGATGAATGAATGAATGAAAGAGTGCAGGAGCGTCAAATTTCAAAAAAATCCGAGAATAATTTTGAGAGAATTGATGAGAATGCGGACTTGGGCAACATGATTGATACGACTATACGAGCCGTGAGCTGTGAGGTACACAAATAAATCGAGACATTAACCCGTACATTCCCGCCTACGGGTGCAAGTCGTTTCGTAAACTATCTTTCAAAATGGAAGATTTCAAGGTGACAAGAACGGCGACAACGAAGAGAGCATAATATTAGCTGGGTACAAATCAGTAAAGAGAGGCTCTTATTCCGATTTCCTGTTTTCCTTTTTTCTTATACTGTTGTGTAACACAAAAACGCCATAAATGCCTTTTGAAATTTTTTGGAAACAATGTATCATAGCAGAAAAATGTGTGTACCTTGGGACAATGTTTCTACAGAACCCTTTCGCAAATACTATCAAGAACTTAACCTGAAAATTTGAGGTGCATGGGTAAAACAGTTTTTATTTTACGAAGTGTTAAGCTCCACAAAACGAGGGAAAATCTTGATGGATTTACGGAATTTTTGCTTAGCACGGCAGTACACTGAATGGTTCAATTCTCTCAACCCGACGTAAGGATTCGTTTTAGCGCAGAAAATAGTGAGGGCCGTTTGGCCGTGTAAGTTTCACGTAGGTCAGCTATTTAATTGAATCGATACATCGCAAAGCACTCCACGCCACTGGAATTGAGAACATCGACAATGACTTGGAAATCCAACCGGGTTGAACTACATTTAGGACTTCGGAACTACAATCTCCGGCTCATTTGTAAAAACTCTTACGTGCATAGGGAAACTAATGCTGCATACGTTGTCCCGAAACCGAGTCATAAACTGTAGTTCCTGAGTGCAAAATGCAGTTCGGTTGATCTTTAATCCAGAACGTGGAGCGCGCGTCAATGGAGCTTTTTCCCATGGTCAGCTGGGTCTCATTGTTTTTATCTCAATGCCAGGCGAGTCGCGGTCATAGAGCAGAAAAGTTCATGTCAAAGTAAGATATGACACGGCTCTAATTTGCGCCACCGACGGCGCGACTCTTGGTGTTGGTGTGCGATTGTAGAGGTGTCTGGGAGTGACTGAGAGCTAAATTGCGCTGGGTGCAGCACTATTTATTTTGTGAAATACAAGACGCCGAGTAAACTCCCGATCGCCCCGACCGGCCGTGGCAAAGTGGGCAAACAACCTATCGTCGCGCTTCTCGCGAAACGGCGTAACTCGAATTCCACATGAGCCCTGGAAAGCCAAGAGACAAATGGGAAACAGGGCTTGCGTAGAGGTCGCGATACGCTCTTACGTCAAAGTAGCGACGCTACGTGGCCACCGTTGTCAAGTGGAAATTCTCCTCGATCAAAGAAGAAACGAATGAATTTAACTAGAGTACCTTAATGGTCAACAACAAAAAAGTAAAAATGTGGCTTGAACTCCAAGTGACGAGGAGGTAAAATAAGGCTGAGTTCACAGTATTTTACAGAGAAAGCTAGGCAAAAAGTTCAAAAATCTCAGTTAGGCTCAAATGGGCCAAATGCGCTGGTCACAGAATCGTGTTCTGATGCTTTATTCTTGTAGAATAGCTAAAAATAATAAGATCTGTTGAAACAGCAACTTTCTACGTTCAATATTAACCGAGATATCGCGCCTTGAAAACCTCGATTCATGACGTCATCTACCGCGGTAATACATACCATGTTATGCACTACTGCTGTGGATGAAGTCAAAAACACAAAGGTGGTGTGGTTTTCAAAGGACGAATTCTCGGTTAATATTCAACGTAGAAAGTTGCTGTTCGGGCAGATCTTATTATTTATAGCTAATCTACAAGAACTAAGCATAAAAAAATGATTCTGTGACCAGCGCAACTGGCCCATTCTTGAGCTCTAATGAGTTTCAGTACAAGACTAAAAGGGGAGAGTGTTATGCTCAGGAGGGTGAATTGGAAATTGACTTGTTCTCATTAAAGCTCAAAATTTTTTACTGTGATTGAAATGTTGAACTTTTTGGCTTTGCTACCCCCGCAAGCATGGATGGAGAGTTAAGGCCGCTGGCGGGTTCGCTTCTTATCGGCTCAGCCATCTTAGGCTTTAAGGAGCTCTTGAGGTCCAAAAAATGACGGACGTCAAATGCGGATGATTCAAATGTGCACAGGATTTCTCCTGACCTATCCAGGTTTTCTCTGGCTGAAACCATCAGAATTCCCTGAGGTGTCACGACAACTATTTGCACGCACAGAACTGATGATGAAACATTTTTAGCATTCATTTCACAGCAATATATTGATTACGGAGAGACGTAAGCCTTTTTTCCTCAGGTACTATACGGTGCTACTTCTTCAATTGATTAAAATTACAATCCTGAAGAAAAAAAAGAAAAAAAAACTCCAAGCATTAAATCCTGAACTAGACTCAGATTCAGTTTGATTGTGTGGACACAGTGCTGGTGTTTTTTCCAGATTTTAAATTATCCGTCTTATTCATAAGGTATCCTGACTTTTCCCTAATTTTCCTCACCTGATTGCAAGTCTTTAAAATTTCCGGTTCAGGTTTTCCAGCCCTGTAGACATCCTAGCATATGATAAGGTTTTTCTTCTCTGTAAGTAGAATATTCTGCATGAATTTCAAGCTGTAAAGGCTCGTTTCTCTACGAACTAATAAGATAGGAGAGAAAGTTTTGAAACACCGCGAGAAAGATACGCGGTTTTGAACTTTAGCCGTGGAGATAATGCCTTAGAAATTTCATCTGAATTTTCTCGAGGTTACGGAGAGTGTGCTCACAAAACTTCGAGTCAAAACGTTGCTTTTTGTTATAAAAATAAATAATGAGGAGAAATCAAGGAGCATAAAATGCAGTTATGCTTGTTCAAATTAAATCCATCCAATTTATGATAGCGGCGATATCCAGAACAACGAGGGAACTCATTTTGAAGTCAAAATAGAGTGACAATAAGTTCTTGAAAAGTCGAGGGAAACCTGGCATAGTCAGTAAACTTTACTCAACCGTGAAAAGTCGGGAAATCTTGGTCTGGAACTTTGAATTTCCTTATTCCACAACTTTTGAATGACTCGAATGCTGCGGTGCTGAGGGGGAAAAGCCGTATCTGCACTCGGATCTTGCCAAATATCCCGCATCAAAAAAATATTTCGATGGCTAGAAGCGAAACCACGTATCTCCATTAAGGTGTTTCAAAATCTCTGCTATTTTATTTTTTAAAAGAAAGACAAGTCCACTAAATAGCTTGATATTTCGATCAAAATGAAAAATCAAGGAAGTTTTCAAAAAATTCAGTTGACTATAGATTTCCAATGAAAACATAAAGTATGACAGGAAGTCTACAACAGCGCAAACGGAGATACGTGGTTCCGCACTTTGACTATCGATATTTACTTTCGAGGTTCATCATTATTTGGACTACATTTTGCAATTTGGAACGATAAATTTCAGCTCGGTTTAAAAACAACGTATGTTCCATTAGTTTCCCTAGGCACATACGTGTTTTTCCAGAAGAGCCAGAATTATAGTTCCAAATTGCAAAATGCAGTCCATCTATCCTTGAAATTTTCAAATATTTCAGATGGAATTGCGAATGAGTACTCTGGGAAATTGGAAGTAAAATAATCGCAAGCTTCCTATCACGACTGTATGCTAAAACGAATCATTTTGAAACATAAATCTCCAGAGGAAAGGGGAACCCTGTTAATGTATTCGGCCCCTTGGCTGCAATTTGATTGAATATGACTGGGATTCAGGGTACTCATCCATTACAGCACCAACAATGTATCTACTGGGGCATCATCATGAAAATTCTTCGCTTCCTCATTACCTTGCGTGTGTACTCATTACTATTTTCTCGACTCCCAAAAAGTCCTCTCCTCAGGGTGTTCATAAGAGTTTTGCTTTCCCTTATTATTTCTTCATATTACACATACTTTAAAATCTGAACGGGACGAAATGTCTTTCTTAGACACAAAAGTAGCCGATTGTCGTTATGACCGATGCAAAAATATATTGAATCAATGTGATATCAGCCGCAAGACCGACTAGAGTTCGCGTCGTTATGACTGATACTTCGTTATATGCCATGTCGCGATATTCCGTTTCCACTGTATTCTGTAAAAGCTACTTTCGAAAATTCGCAAAAAGTTTCAAAGCATTGCATGGACTCGATTTTTATTAAAGCCATAGAGTGCAACAGGAAATTCAACGCAGAGAATTCAATGCAGAGTACGTGAAATGCACTTTCGTTGATTCCAGTTAAGTCCGCCGAATGGGTCGTTGTCCTCACGAAAGAGCGTAACTCCATTTTTATTTCGCCTTTGCCCTAACAAATTGCATTTTTACCAAGAGAATTTTGGGCATTTCTGATTCTTCGCTGATTCTTTCTCTGATCTTATGCAAAAAACAGAAACACTTCGGACGAAAATTGAACTGGTATATTCTTGTGACAAATGAATTGTTTTGAGTGAATTTTGCACCCTTGGAATGGCGTGCGTGAACGACGGATTATCCATTGAGCGATTAGAGCTCTAGCATCGAAACTTCACCTAAAAATACTCTTCGGAATAGCCAAGAGCGAAGTTGCGAGAGCAAATTAGTCGGAACGGCGGCGCTAGGTTTGGCGGCCTGGTGGTACCTGTTGGGTCCTTCCTACGGAGAGTTGAGTTGCATAACTCAATCTCTCAACACCATCGGGCGGGAACCGGGCACCTGCGGGCATTTCGCTATCCTCCAACGTCCGCATCTTCGCTCCATTCATCATCAATTATCGATATTTGCCCATCTGAAGCCGTTGTAAATAATCGATCATTAAGGTGGTCATTGCGAACACCCAATTAATCGATCATTTTCCATAGGTTTTAATGGCAGATCAATCGATAAATCGCAAAACTCGCCACGCCACGGCTCCATTCCCGCATCTGCCGCAGAACGCGTCACTCGCAAATCGAATATCAGAGCGTTCCCTCTTCTCCCCGAAGGGACTGCAGTTTCCGCCGCTGCACCGTGTTGCAGGGGACGGGGATGCAGAGGGATGAACCGGAGGGGGGGGGGAGTGAATTGAATAATATTAGCGTGCAGAGTCCCGTCAAAGTGTGAGAGTCAATAACCCTTTCCGACTCTATTCTTTCTCGACGAGTTGGTCACGAAAGACATCGAGAAAATTCCGGCATCAAAAATGACTTCTAAACAGTCAATTTTTCCTCATGAAAGCTTTCCTCGGATTGTTGTGTCTCACCTTCTCGATGCTTAAGAACGAGGAATTTCCTATCCTCCCCCTCCTTAATTTTGGACGGGAAATTGTGTATCAAGAAACGAAAATAATCTTACGGTTTCTCTGCTTTTCACGAAAAGCGATCGAAAAATGATCGCATATTTTCACCACTGTGAGCAACTTCATTTTTGGGGGTCACTTCCCAAAGAGGAGCTACCCCTGCTTATGGAGGTTAAGGGGCCTCCCCGAGTAAAGTTTGAAAAATGGGCCTGTTTCAAACTGCAGTTAGAGCAATACGCAACTAGAGCAACTCGAGAAATACGTATTTGAAGTTTCGAAATCGCATGGATCCTTAAGGCGAAAATAAAGTTTCAACTGACTTTTTGATGTTTAAACATTAGAATTCGGGAGCGGACTTTTTCTCAGAATATGCATTAAGACTTGTTTTCGTTGAAATCATTAATAGCTCAATTTTTTCGAAAACTGCACTTATGCGCCTTGTCTTCCAAGCCTCTCAATTGAGCCCAATCAAAGATTTTCTTGGACAAACCCCTCACATTTTCTACAGGGGGCCAAGTATAGATTTAAGGGGGGTGGGAGGGAGCAGGCCCCCTCGACCCCTCTCCAGTAGTCTCCACCCACACCTACATTGCCTTGCTAAGGAAAAACGCCGTATGAACATTCGAGAGTTGCCAAATTTCCCCGGATGAAACAGATATTTATGACGAAATTTATGCATATTTTCACTTAAAATTTTCAAATATTTAAGATCAAATCGCGAACAAAATATACTAAAAATTCTGAAAAAAAATATTTACAACTCCTCCAATAAATTCCTATTTTATCGAAGGAAACTGGGCAAAGTCTGAAGGCTCATACGGCGTTCTTCCTTAGCACGGCAGTACAGTGAAAGCCCGCGGTCGAATATAGCAGACCTGCTTGCGTTGTTACTATGCGAGCGTATTTTTCCATGTACTTTTCTTTCAGCGAGCGAGGATTTCCGCGAACTCCCACCGATGCGACACAGCGCGGTGCCGCGTGTTTGCGGAAAAGTCCAAGTGGACAATAATCGCATTCAACATCCGGGCCCGGTGGCTCTTGTGCAGAATTCCCTCGACAGAGAGAAACCGCAACAAACGAGTCAACAACAACCGGCACCTTCCTTCAACTAATGATGTTTGCGTCTTCACAGTCGGTAAACGATTATGCTACGCGTTCTTCGTTCTGCAACAATGATACTTGTATTCCTTCGGTGACTTATCAGTTCCACCCACGTGGTTATTTTAGCCTCATTCAGAGGCTACGTCATTCTTCCGATATTCGATAAATACGTGTTCGATGACTAGAGTGTAAACAAGCATGTAACCTCGAGTCCAACTTCTGCATCGAGCACTAATGGTGTCATTTCGACTCTTTTACGCATTCGGCCATCCCGTCTTAACAGGGTTGCCACAGAATTTGGAAAATTAAATTCCCTCACATTTCCCTGATTTCCTTGACACATTTCGGTGAAATTTTCTGACAATTNCTCGACAGAGAGAAACCGCAACAAACGAGTCAACAACAACCGGCACCTTCCTTCAACTAATGATGTTTGCGTCTTCACAGTCGGTAAACAATTATGCTACGCGTTCTTCGTTCTGCAACAATGATACTTGTATTCCTTCGGTGACTTATCAGTTCCACCCACGTGGTTATTTTAGCCTCATTCAGAGGCTACGTCATTCTTCCGATATTCGATAAATACGTGTTCGATGACTCGAGTGTAAACAAGCATGTAACCTCGAGTCCAACTTCTGCATCGAGCACTAATGGTGTCATTTCGACTCTTTTACGCATTCGGCCATCCCGTCTCAACAGGGTTGCCACAGAATTTGGAAAATTAAATTCCTTCACATTTCCCTGATTTTCTTGACACATTTCGGGTGAAATTTTCTGACAATTGAACAAATGCAATATTGTTAAAAAGTTAGAAACAGTTTCCAGGCAAAATTTGTACATCGGAACGTCAAACTAATTCAAAAAAGGGAATATAGGTGATTTGAAGATTTTACCCTGATATTTCCCGGCTTTCCCTGACGTTTTTGTCATATTCCCTGACATTTCCCGGTTTTCCCTGACATTTTTGTCATTTCGCCTAACATTTTCCCTGACTGGCTTTTCCCTGGCTTTTTAGAATTCCCTAACATTCCTTGGTTTTCCCGGTTTTCCCTGACCGTGGTAAACCGTGGCGAGGGTATATCTTCGTTTCCTTCACAAAGAAACGTAACTACATTTCAATGTTGCCAAATTTCGTCTAACAAATTGCATTTTTACCACAAGAATCTTGTGAATTTTTGACTGAAAAATTCACCGATTGTTCTTCTGATCTCAAGCAAAAAGCCGAAGGATTTGGAACCGACATTGCACAAGTACATTTGTGTAGAAAAATGGACTTATATGAGTCAATTTTGGAATGGAAATACGTTCTTTCGTCCGAGTCATTGAGTCATTTCGATCAGCAAATCCCCAGAAGAACATTATTTCGCTCAAGGTACTTTATCGAATCAAGGCCTCATATTATCCAGCAAGTTTTTAGTTGAAAGTTCAAAAGTAGATATGCTCATCGAAAGCGACATGTTCACGTATATGCTTTTATGTTTATGGTGGTTAAAATATCGAATGAGTCAAATAGTTGGGAAGCACTCTCATTCATTCATCCATTCGCTGATACGTATACGATGGAAAAAATAATGGTAAATTAATTCAAAAAATTGGGGGGAGACATGATTTTTTATGAATTGATGATCTTGTTTGTTTTTTCCTATCTATTTTAAGATAGGGTAGCGAGAGAGACCGAAAGTTCAAAGTTTCCGATGCTGATTTTAGATAGAGAGATAGAAAAAGAGAAACGCCCTTCCGTCAAAGGAACGACGATGTAGACGGAGTAAGGAGGGTGCGATGGTTTTAAGTCAATACGTGGCTCTAACGTTGGTGGGTATACACAGAGACAAAAACTTAGGTTTCAGAGACTGAAGTGATGTAAGTTTCGGATCACGGAAACCCAATTTCGAGAAGCTGAATTAAAGATTAATTTCTACGACCAAAAACCTTTGGTATCTGATGTGAAAAAAATGTTCAATATGAACCAAACTTTTTTGCTCATTGTATGCACATGCGTAAGTTACTTTGCCCGAAGGTCCTCCGGCACTGAACGGGCCGTGTTCAGCAAAAAGGAACCAAACCACATCAGCTACTGCCGGATTTAACCGAGCAATTTCAATTTGAACAAGAGAACGTTTTTGTGGATTGTGGAGGGATGCAACTTCAAACCTCTTTTTCTCAGTTTCAAGTTCATGTGGCTTGGTTCCCGTCTGATGAACTCGGTCCGTTTGAACTTAAAATAGAAAAAGAAATTAATTTTTCTGAAATTGCCCATTACGATAATTTCACATGCGACACTGGGTCGGCCCCTGGGCCTTGTTGGACAGGATCCACGATTACCGTCGGTCGACGCCGGTGCCGACGAGCGAGCAAACAAACGAAGGAACTAATTTACCCGCTCGGAGAAAGCGGCCGGGCTGCGGCTAGAAAGTGCGGCGGCCACGCACGTAAACGTAGACGCAAACGTAAACACAAACGCGGGCCGACGACGACGGACGCTGGATTCTGCGTCTGCGGACGGGACGCGCGCGCGGTCTCGGTTCGGGCACGACTGGCCATGCGCCGCCGACCGCGGGTCCTCCGAGCCACCAGTCGGCTGACGGACGGACGGATCAACGGCGGGCGTCGGGATACCGCCCGCACCGCAGCCGTGTCGGGCGGGTTCTTCGAGTCGCCGCTTGAAGGCGAATCTTAGACCCGGCTCAGAGCGTCGAGCTTACGGATCACGGTGACTGTGCAAAGTCGAGTGCTGCCAGGAGAGTATGGATTCGATCGACACTTACTTTAAACAAAAAAAAAAAAAAAAACTGTTTCGATTCGATCGACATGAATCGATCGACACCGGTTCGATCGACACTTAATTTTAAAAAATCGTATCGATCGAAAAACAAAAAAACGTAAATCCATCGACACCGATTCAATCGCGATCGACTCACGGGTATGTCGGTCGACTCACGCGTATGTCGATCGACTCACGGATTTGTCGATCGATTCACGGTTGTCGATCGATTCACAGTTGTCGATCGAATCGGTGTTGATCGAATCACGTCAATCGGTTCACGTTTCAGTTTTTCGATCGATTCATGTCGATCGAATCGATACCGGTTTTTTTTTACAATAATCTGTCGATCTGCGCATGTTTTCGTTTTTCGATTGATTCATGTGGGTCAAATATCGACACCGGTTTTTTAATAATTCGTAGATCAAATCATTGTCGATCAATTCAGGTCGATCGATTCAGGTTTCAGGTTTCCATTTTCCGATCGATCCATAACGATCGAGTTCATACCCTCCGTGCAGAGAACGGGATAGTCCCCAAAGTGTATGCGGTCGTGATAAATACCTATACATTCCTTGTTTTAGTAACTGCGCTCATAGGAGTCACTGTCTTCGTTAAAAATCTTTTCGGGGTTAAAAATTGTTTTGAGATCATGAGCATTAGCACTATTTCCATCGTGGTTTTCGCAAAATTTCTTTGAAATACTGCGCTCTCAAGGAAGAGCCTGTCGATGAAAAAAAGAGATGGCCCAAGTGCGAAACGCCGTATCTCCGTTTGCAACGTTGCAGATTTTCCGTCATACTTTATTTTTAAAATAGAAAACTAGTCGACTCAATTCCTTGATCTGTCTTCTCTAATAACAGAATATTCCACAGAGATTTCAAGCTATATATGTAGCTGACTTGCATCTCTTCAAAAAAATACAATAGGAGCAGAGATTTTAAAACACCGCAATAAAAATACGTGGTTTCACCCTTAGTCATCGAAAGGCTTTTAGAGAGGAAATAGACTTAAATCTCGGTCTGAGTGCATGGCGTCGTATGTACCGTTTTCGTGTTCATCTCTACTTTTCACAATACTTCATCTCTACTTTACTACAATACATCTCTACTTTCTTTGTAATACAAATCCCGTCATAATTTTGTCAAGACACTGTTCTTCGAAACACATAGTATAAGAATCAAAAGTAAAATGACATAGATAAACAAACCCNGATTCCGTGTTCTTTCTTGGCAAGGTAGATGAGAGGGTCAAATCGCGAGTCAACCCCCGCTCGGTAAATTCACTCTGAAACTTGCTTGGAAAATCCAGCCGGCAGGTATTTGAAGCCCTTGACGAGCCTTTGAACCTGCACTATTATTTTCAGTGTTTCACTTGTTCTGTCATCGGTTTTGTGCATATTAATATTCGACCTACACAAAGGCATATTTTATGGAGATAAAAGCGAGTGCACTGCAATGTTGCCAAGCTCACAGAAACAAAATAATTGGAACTCTCAACATGATGTCTTATTTCAGACCCAACCTACTGAATTCGCAGTCTAAGTCTTCATATTGCTTTTTGTGGCGCAGGCTGAGATATTCTCCGAAAGTCAGAAAGTTACATTTTCTAAATCTCGAGTTTTAAACAGTACCGACTAGCAGTTTTTGTACTAACTCTCGGAATGAATATCGTTTTATCGATTCCTTTTTGAGATTCTGTGTCTAGAGAAGTGATTGACTTGGAGAGCAAGGAAAAAACTGAGAAAATATTCTCCTCGAGTGTCGCTTGTCTTACATACTAAGATGAAGTATGTAGTCGAGAGGTCTTAAAGATCAGTTTTCGCTCGAATGTTCGTATACTTTAATATTTTCCTATCTTTTTTTACAATTTTGAGAAGCTAGGTGAAAGTTGTTAAAATTAATAAGTATTTCAATACCGGTCTAATTTCTGTTTACTAGCTCTCACCGAGTCACAGGGAACGATGTAGTCTAAGTAGCTCAACAGTGGCAAAGCGTGAAAGATAGATTATTGTTAATTCCATTTGAAGCTATGCTAAAGAATAAATTATTAAGGTGTCCGTTGCGAACATTCTATTTATCGATCCTTTTCCATGGGTTAAAACGGTGGATCGATCTATACATCGCCATATAGACGGTATATGCATACCCCCACGCCACTGTATCTCAACTGGGGATCTGAGCAGGAACTTCCCTTGTAAAAATTGACAGTAGAATCTGTGTTCCAAAATACCATAGACCTCCAGCCGGCTGTAAGGTTTCCAATAGCCTCTACAGCCGGCTACACAATTTCTTATAACCTTTTATAGCTGATGGCGATAAACCAACAGCCAGGCGATAAAGTGTATGCTAAACGTTACTAATTACGGATGACGACTTACGGACTTAGTGAGTTTCCGGAATACTGTTCTCTTTTTGGGCCGTAGTATCTTGATTTATTTTGCCAGGAAAGCTCCGTACTTTTGATGAATGCCTGCCATTACTAATATATTAGCGCGCTTTCAGTTTCGTATGATACTGTGCAATACCTCTGGTGTGAAATAGTTGCTTCAAGCGCCGTGGCAGGCGGGCAGCCAGCGCGAAACACGCATTGGCGCCTACAAACCTAACAGGGATACTTCACGCGTTGCGCAATGCGTGAAGTATCCCTGTTAGGTTTGTAGGCGCCAGTGCGTCGCCGCTCCGCTTATTGTTAGGTTCTAATATTTAATCTGGCGGAGTCAGCGTTATTCAACTCATGATTTGGAAATGTTTGCACATCCTGTATGGATTATTCTCATTTTAATTGATGAAAAAAAATATGTATTAAAGGAAAATATAATGTGTGTTTTTTAAATATTAAGGTGGTTCCGTTTCAAACTTAATGATTTCCAAAGCACACGAATTGTTACACAATTTCTTATAGCCTTTTATAATCGATGGCGAAAAAGCAACAGCCAGGCGATAATGTGTAAAGTCCGGCTATAGGAACTATAGCCCGGCTGCATAATTTTTTATCGCTTCGTATAGCCCGGCCGTATGATTTTTTCCGCATTCTACAGCCAGCTATATGATTTTCTGTAGCCTTCTTCAGCCGGCTATAAAAATTCCTATGGTATTTTGAAACGCAGCTCTTATCGCCAATTTTTACCAGGGTTTCCCGCAAAAAGTTCCCACAGTGAAAAATCTTTGATCGATCGTTCCCTCTGCGCTAGAGACGATTGGACTGCGCTTAGCAGGAAGAGACCAAGCCACATGAGCTGTTTCTAGATTTAAATCGGCACTTGAATTTTTTACATGAAAACGGTTGGGCGGATTTTTGTTCAAATTTCAGTGAAGTAATGGCATATACGAGGTAAATTCCTTACAGATTTAAAGGGATCCACACAAACGTTTTCCTGTAAAAATAAAATTTTCCACTTTTTGGTAATAGCTGATGTGGTTTGGTTCCTTTCCTGCTAAAGCGGTCCAGTTAACCTTGTTAATGGAGCTCCTTTTGCTGAGAACTATACGATGACTTTTAGATCTTTCTCACGAACCGAGAGTTTATTTTAGACGAAGCCGGTGGCACCACTGCGCTATTCCCCCAATTGTGCGTCGAAATATTCAGCTGAATTCCGAGCCGCTCCCGTAGGAACTCGGAGTCCCTCGGGAGGAGCCCTGTGCCCTCTTCCGGCGCCATTAGTGGATTTCGCTACAATTTCTTGGCGTTAATTTCATCAAGAGCGGAAACCGGATCACGTTCACCGACTCTGACAGTTTTGAAATCACGGGGCCGCGCCGCGCTGAGCGTCGGACCTCATCAGTGAGCGAACATTGGCGAGTGGTGAAGCCACGCTTCCACTGCCGGCAATCGACACCAAATTGGCCGAAAGAACAACTCAACATGGACTGCTTAAAAGCAGTAATGGAGATGTTGCATGTGTGAGGAATTTGCGATTTGACTGTTGATTCTTTTGTAAAAGTTGGCGAGAAACACGATGGTGCCACTGGTTTTATCTGAAATCAACTCCCAAGCTCAAAAAAAGCTCTCAAGTTGAGGCCAAAATGGAGGGGATATCCCACGCTATCCTGAGAGTCCACGTCTACATCAAGACAAACTCTCCATGGAAAGATAGGGAGCAAATACATTAGCAGGGTTGCCGTGTTTTCAGTTTTATAGTCCCCACATAAAGTGGCAGCCCTGTCAATGTATTTACTCTCTATCTATGCATGGAGAGTTTGTCTTGATGTAGAGGATGTGACTCTCAGGATAGCGTGGGATATCCCTTCCATTTTGGCCTCAACTTGAGAGCTTTTTTTGAGCTTGGGAGTTGATTTCAGAGAAAACCAGAGGCACCATCGTGTTTCTCGCCAACCTTTACATAAGAATCAACAGTCAAATCGCAAATTCCTCACACATGCAACATCTCCATTAAGTATACGTGAATGATGATTTACTTAGAAGTAGAATTTCCGGACGAAATTTAACTTAAGAATCGGTTGTTTTCAAAAAGGAGCAGGTCTACTTCTTGAAGAGTCTTACATTTAGTCAGGATGTTCATATATGCAACTCAAGGCTCATGCAAAAATGAAATTGTTCCCTTTGAAAACAACCGATTCTTGTGAGGAGTAGGCTTTTGTACATTGATACTCGATCGTTACGACTCGTCTCAAATGAGACATGAATGAGAATCAAATGAAACCCGCGGTTCTCCTTTAGTTGCGCCGGTTATGCAATCTGAGCTGCTCAAGGGTTAAAATAGTTGTATCACGCATTTGGCTCTGACAGTGCAGAATTTTGACGTAACGGCTATAACTTTAAAATGCGAAGATTCAGGAATTGTGTATGCTTCTACGTTTGTACAGAGCAAAGGAGCTAAAGTAATTGCTTTTAATAATTTTTATTTTAATTTGAGGAAAACAGAGGGACCCGAAAAATCATGCTTCGCATAAAGTCCAAAGATAATGTCGGAATTTTAGGGAGTTTGGCCGATTGATGAAATACGAGTGGAGATGCTGGCGGATCCATCAAATTAGCAACATTGTCTGTTCTCCATGTACGCATATGGAAATGGATATCGATTCTTGGAGGGGCCAAGTTCTCCGACAATAATCGATTATTTAGCATAAGTTTCAATGAAGAAAATCCGGTGTTGCAAAACTGCTGGATTCGACTTTGAGCGAGGAAAAATGAGGGCTCAGAGAAAAATCAGGGGGGCCGTATTTAAACAACAGTATATCTGGCATGTTTCGTTGGTTTTGTGAAATGTCAGCAAAAACAATGGAGTATTCTCCCTTTTTCTTGATTTTTTTCATCTTTTGAAGGGAAGGGTATCGATAAGAGCCCATCCTAGATGAATTCTCACAACTCTACGAATTTGTGCTCATTGAAGGTCTAAATTTTACGGAAAATATCAAGATTTGGTTGATTCCTGTCTTTTTAGGAATTTGGCAAACAATCTGGATTTTAACCCGCAAAACTCCCAATTAGGTCCGGTATCAGACATGAAAAGTCAGGAATTGACCAGACCATTATACATTCCTTATTTAAACCTTCAATCATCAAAAAATCATAGAATTAAGAATTTGCAGGTGTCTGAAATTTGATGAATTTCGTATTTAAATGGAAACTACTGAGTGAACTGAACACGAGGATACCCTTGATTCATGAATTGAACAATTATTGGAGAATATATGACAAAATGGTCTAATATGCTAAAATACGTGTGCATAAATGGGAAATGCCGCCAAATGACATCACTAGGCGGTGCATTTTCTCGCTGATGAATCTATTTTTATAATATTTCCCACATCAGATAAAAATTATCGAAAATGATGTGAAATCAGCTCTTTGAGCACTTTCAGATGAAGCAATAAAAAATTTGCATGCAAATCCTACATTGTGAAAATTTAACTTGGATGGGCCCTGAACGGTCTTCATCGACACCCTTCTTTAACAAAGGATAAAACATGTATTTTAAAAATGGAAACTTTTTCCCGTCATTTTGTTCTCGTGAAGTAGAAAAAAACCCCTGATATTATTGGAGGAATTTAAAAGCGTCACAAGCTGTTTGCGTAAGCGGGGCCTAACGGTTCCGGGCTCCGGAGACGTGCTAATTGCAGTTGCCCGGCTGGAGCGTTGCAACTTGATTAAATTCAATGACAACTTGTAATCCCGGGAGATCGCTTCTGCATGGGTTCCACCGCGCCAATCGATGCATCCGTTATCTCTCCTGCTCAGGTGGATTTTTGCCTAAAACCCGGGGGCGCCACGCGTTACGTCACGCACGCCGAGGGGGGAGCTCCCGTGCTAAGGAAAAACGCCGTATCAACATTCCAGAGTTGCCAAATTTCCTCTAATTAAATGTTCACTTTGTAGAAAAATTGTGAATCTTTTTCTTTGAAATTTTCAGACACTTTAGGTCAAATTACGAACAAAATTATCTAAGAAATTGGCAGGAAAATATTCAAAAATGTTCCTGAGAATTAGTGATTTGCCAGAGGACATTTGGCAACGCCTGCGGGTTCATACGACGTTCTTCCATAGGACGGCAGAGCAGTGTCACAGCTTTGCGGGGGCTTTTGTGGGGAATAGAACTTTACATACTGCGAGCGGCAGTCGCTTGTTATTGCGTTCACAGAGGTCAGCGAGTGAAAATATGACAATTTTGAATGGCTTCTATACTATGTCAGCTTCCGTCCGAAGTGTCACAGGCGCCATGCGACGTTTCAAAATTTTCGCCGTCATACTATTTTTTTACAGAGAAATTGTTGTTTGAGACTATCAGAAAATTTCACTGAATTTTATCGGCAGCGCACAGTCTGTAAAAAAGTAAGATGACGGCGGAAATTTTTAAACGTCGCATGGCGCTTGTGATAATTTGGCCGGAAGGTGACGAATTGAGGTGCTTCGAAGAAAAGTGCAATCTTTGAAAAAATTGAGAATTACTGATTTCAAGTAGAACTAGTCTTAATGCATATCCTGCTAACAATTCGGTTCAAAATTCCAATTTTGAAGCGTGAAAAAGTTGGTTTGAACTTTCTTTCCGTCAAAAGGATCAATGTGATTTCGAAATATCAAACACGTAATTCGCGAAATAGCAGAAACTGCACCTGTGCGTCTTGTCCTCCGAGCCCCTCAATTATGGTCCATCTAGCAAATGAACGTGAAAAAAAACGATCTCGCCTCCCCCTCAAATTGGTGTTTTTGGGTGAATTTTGGACGAAAAATTGCCAATTCAGGCCGATATTTCACTCGTGATGCCTAATACAAATTAACCTAAGGTAGTGCACTCATGGGAATGGTGAATAAAATTACTGCATAAAACTTACAAAGGGGAATGAGGGATAGTTCTTGCCGACGGATAAGAAAATTTAATTTACCTGAAACAAAGAAGAAATAATTTGGATTAGAGTTTATTTTACCCATAGAAATCAGATACAAACATCGTAAGTTGGGAACAGCCAAAATGAAAAAAAAGTCAACATTTTATAATCTTATGCTGATATTACAATATTATCAACAAGAGAGAAACAGTTCCGACTCAACGGAAAATTTCATTTGTGACGCGCCAGGCAATTTTCGAGAAGGGTGTAGATTAATTAAAAAATTCCGATGTGGAATCCATCGACATGAATCGATTGAAAAACAAAAACGTGAACAGATCGTCAGCGACTCAATCGACACTTATTTGGACGTAATTCTGCCAAACGGGACTATATGCATTAAGAGATGAGCCCTGAGACCCATAAGAATAAATGCATAACAGGGCTCACGTCATATTGCACATAGTTCCGTTTAGCAGAAATACGTCCATCTACAAAATACGATCTATTCACGGATTTGGCGATCAAATCGCGTCGATCGATTCATGTAAATCGAATCCATATCCTCCAAGTTCCGACCCGAATCGTGAATCAGCGTGATGAAAATCCCACTTCCAAAAATAGTCCCGAAAGGAATGGGTTATGAACAAGCCCCCTTCTGATACGAAATTAATGGTGTCTCGACAAGATGGTGATAGTACAACCGGCTTCCCTTATCAAATCAGACTCGCCGAGGACCAGACCTCACCGGCGCCAGCGAATCTGAGACGATTTTAAATCGATGCAATTAGCGAATTTGAGAATCGATAAAAAGGGTGCCGGTCTTAGCTCCCTCCTCAGTTTCGACCATCGAGATCCCATCATGAAGTTCTTGAAGGTTAGTGTCGATTCACGCAAGTTATTGTGCTTTTTAAAGGCAACAGTTTTACTTCTCTTTAGATTATTTTTCTTAACTCTCTTAAGCCAAGCATGAAGGTGTTCATTTTGTGCGGTGAGAATTTATAAACAAGATCAAAAAGTGAATATTTTGTGATACGTATGATCAATGACATTTTTGCTGAAAAGTGTCAAAGAAGTATAATCCTTTGTTTCTTGCGTGGGGATTGTATACATATGTAGTTCACATTAATTAAGACTTTCTAAGCTCGCAATTCTACACTTTCGGTTCTAGTTTTGGGAGATTTTCGCACTTTCTCCCAAAAAACGCTTGAACCCGTTGAAATCCTCAAAGCAAGGGAAATAACATTGAAGTTACTGAATGTTCTTGGATTATATCTTAAGCGTAGAAACACTGCGGCGTATTGTAAGCACGGGAAAGGGGAAAAACATGCTGAACCTCAACCGATTGCTAGAATTTTAATTGATTTAAATTGCGTAAAACATAAATTGAAAAAAGAAAACTGCGAAAACGCGATTTAGATTGACGACAAATTTCTATACTTGACGTAAAATAGATTCAAAAGCATGAATTATTTATAAGATATAGTTATTAGATTAGTGAGTTCCAATCTAAAAAAAATGAATTAAACAGAATGGGAGCAGTGATATTAAAACACTGGTGTAGATTGTTTTTTTAGCTTCGACTTCATTATTAAAAGTAAGCATTTAGAGTCAAAGGAGCATTACACGTAGTCTTCCTACGTACGATACTAAAATAAAGAGGCGAGGAAGTATTCAAAACATTTTCTGATATTGTCAATGTGTTTTTCCTTCTAGGGTTTTTTGCTGTTCTCAGCTATCTTGCTGGGTGCTGTCTCCTGTGATGACAGGTAAGAAAAATGTTCCAAACTAGTCTCCCTTAAATCCTTTTTTCCCCCAATAATTTTAAACGCTGTCAATTTAGAGAGTGCCTTTGCTCCATTAGCTGTGCCTCATTTGGATGTATTTATGGTAAAAGGAACTATGTCTAAAAGGAAAGATGGGGTGTGCTCGTGGTGAGTTGGGTAAGAAACAATGTAAAAGTGGATATAGATCTTTTCCAGAAAATGGAAAATCGGGATTTGACATTAAATCAAAAGGAATAGAGCGCTAACTCGTGAGCCGTGGGCATGTGACAGGAGCCTTATGGACAGGGCTCATGAGTTAAAGCCGAGCAAGAACGACAATGGAGACGGCCTCGTTGCCGCTGACGTCACCGGCGCTTCAAAATCCCCATTCATTCTTATGACCCTCAACTAGCGAGCACACCCCACCTTTCCTCTTGCACATAGTTCCATTTAGCATAAATATATCCATTTGCAACACATTAAGAACTTAATGCTCTCTTTCAAAGCAGTATTGAATGCAATTTTGACAGACATGAAAAAAGTAATAGTAGATCAAATTAAGGTTGACAGATTCGGTCTTCTGGCATAACTAAGACTTAAAGTTTTCTCCTGAGGAACCATATATGGCTAAGTATTGTAAGTCATATTCAACTCCATCAAGAGAAAGAAACAGAACAATTCACAAAATAAAATTATCGTAAGGCTACAACTACTTCCATCCCTGTTTCACCTTCTTTTCTCATATTGTTTACTTACAATTTTTCTAGCTTGAAGAAAGTTCAAATTTTTCTTTAAAATATCTTAAATTTCCTCATGTCGATAGCCAAACTCGTTAACTATAAAGTAACGTATTCCGTCATCTTGTTCCAGCACGAATCCAGACGAGTCCGCCATCATTGCCGACCCGATGGACCCTCAAATCCCTACTCCGATGGGGATTGACCCTCGGGCCGGTATCCCTGCGGAAATGGACCCTCAGGCTCCTCCTCCAATGGGAATGGGCCTGCAGGCCAGCCTACACCAGGCAATGAATCCTCAGGCTGCTCCCTCGGTGGGGATAGCCCCCCAAACCGCTCCTTCTCAAGCCTCTTTTCATGGGAGAGTGGACCCGCAAGCAGCTTCTTCCGTGGGAATGAACCCACATGCCGCTCCTTCTGTAGGAATGAACCCGCAGGCCGCTCCTTCTGTGGGAATGAACCCGCAGGCCACGTACCTAATGGGAATGGATCTTCAGTCCCGTTTTCCCATGGGAATAGACCCTCAATGGGGAATGATCCCTCAAGCTGCTCCTTCGGTGGGAATAGTCCCGCAAGCTACGCCCCACGTAGAGACGATCCCTCAAGCCGTCCCTTCCGCAGGAATGATGTCTTCACCCACTTTCCAGAGAATGGATCCGCAAGTGGCTCCCTCTAGGAGTATGAACCCGCAAGCCGCTCCTCCTGTGGGAACGGGCCCTCCAGCCGCTCCTTCCGTGGAAACGGACCCAGAGGCCGCAGACCCTGTCATCAAACCGGAGGCAGCCCCAGAAGAGGCGCCCTCTGACGTCATCCCGAAACCGGAGGGCGCCGTGAGCCCGGACGAGGCGCCCTCCAAGCCCTTGACAGCCCTCCTCTACTTCAAGCCCGTGCTCGTCATCCCGGGGGCGTCCTCGGCGGCCCAGCGCCCCTCCCCCTCGCGCTGCCGCCCCCACGACCGCCGCGGCCCCGTCAACAAGAAGACCTTCTTCGGGGGCTCCGGGTGGGGCTCCGGCCACGGCTCCGGGTGGGGCGGCGGCTACGGCGTCGACCCTTACTACGGCTACGAGCCCTTCGATAACTACGACTCCTTCTACGCCTTCGGACCGCCCTCCTACCCGGAGCCGGAGTACCCTGAGCCCTACCCCTTCGAGCCGTACCACCGCCCTGGTTACGGGTACCCTTACTGATCTCCAGATGGAAAACTCTTTTGGTGTGAATTTCAAGTTGAACTCGTGAAATAAAACAATTGAATATTTTTAAAAATCTTTTTTTGCTTTGTATCTCTATTCGTAAAATGAGCCGTACGTGTCATCTTCAAAAAATGGAGAATTTGCGAGTGTCTAGAATTTGATGAATTCCATGTTTGAATGGACACTACCAAGTGGACTGCATTTTGCAATTTGGAACTATAAATTCTGGCTCTTCTGGAAAAACACTTATGTGCATAGGGAAACTATGGCGCATACGTTGTTTTTAAACCGGGCTAAAATTTATAGTTCCAAATTGCAAAATGTAGTCCAAGTGAGCTGAACACGAGGATACTCTTGGTTCATAAATTGAAAATTTTTTGGAGGAGACATGACAAAATGATCTAATCTGCAATGATACATGTGTTTAAATGGGAAATGCCGCCAGATGACGTCACTAGAAGGCGCATTTTCTCACTTTTAAATCTGTTTTTAGTATACTCTTTTCGATAGCCGAAAAAATTATAGAAAATACTGCAAAATTAGCTCTTCACGCACTTTTAGATGAAGCAATAAAAAATTTGCATGCAAATTCTCCATTGGTATGATCTCCCTATCTCCATCTCAAATTCTTAAACGAGACGAATGCGAATCTTTCGATCGATCTACCTAATTGTAAGATATCGCGCGGCACGAATAAAACCAAATTATTAGGCGGGTTGTACTGATGTTGATGGATCGTTGCACTATAAAAACGCATTGTATTATGATGCAAGGGGGAAAAATTAAGCAAATATAATTCTTGTCAGAAAATATTTCTTCGAATACCGAGCGTTTGGCTAGTACAGGCTATCAGTTATGGACGGGCTTTCGTCCAGAAAACAATAATAAAGATTGAATTTACATGAAGAGACCAATAAATTGATGATAGATTCTCATGATCGATTGATTTTCCAAACACCACCAAAAATGTACTTAGGGTTCAATAAACAGAATCGCACCGACAGACTTATACAGGGTTATGTAGAGTCAATTCAAACATACATTTTACATAATTATCTCCGATTAATCAAAAATTAGTAAATATTTAGTGAGCAGGTTGACAAAAGCTTGCTCCGAACTTTAATATCGCCGGTCAATTAGAAAAGAGATGATGGCAAGATGAAAAGGCCTCATTTTCAGATCCCTTTGACTTTAGTTACTCAAATGAGAATTTTTCAAGTTTTTCATTATGGGGAAGAATTGCTCTTTCAATGTATGTACCCGCATGCTTTGTGCAATACAAATATATTCTTACCCTAAGTACTCGCTTCCCGTGACAGAACTTCCCATTTGAAGCTCATTTTTGCGGCAGCGGTATTACTGCATACTTTGTAACTGGACGCCGCCGGCCACACAAACCGTGCGCCGCAGAGTGGATCGAGTCACTCAAATAGGTCGGACATGAAATGTTTGACTAAAACTGCGAATTTTAATGTTTAATTCGTCACATTTTAAATTTTAAGGGGTGGTTCTGGAAGAGAATTTTACGAGAAAACCAATATGGAATCACTTTTAAAAACTCAAAGTTTTGTACGTATGGAGTTATAAGCTTTTAAAGTTTCCAAATTTTGTATGACCTCTCCTATTGACTCGATGCACTGTGCGCCGTACAATAGGTAGGTTGCCTCTACTGAATTGGCAGAGGCGAGGTGTGAATGATCAATCAAATATGCAGCTTGAGTCAATTTTTTCATAAATTATCACCACGTATAAGAATCCTTCTTTTTTCTACCCTCCGTTCCCTAAACTTTCTTTCTTCCCTTTATCTTCCGTTCCCCTTTTCGGGCGAACGCAGGGGGCATACGTCCCCTACGCCCCCCCCCCCCCCCTATTGGATCCGCCTATGACCGTTCTCTCGGGTTCGTTACGTTTTTTTGTCTAGGAAACTACGCTTATACTACCGAGCTAAGGAAGAACATCGTATGTACATTCAAGAGTTGCCAAATTTTCCATGATGAAACATGTATATTTGACGACATTAATGCATATTTTTCCTTGTAATTTTCAGATATTTTAGATTAAATCGCGTACAAAATTGTCTGAAAATGATGTGAAAAAATAATCATAATTTTCCCAATAAATTTCAGATACTTTAGACTAAATTGCGTACAAAATTGTCTGAAAATGATGGGAAAAAATAATCACAATTTTCCCAGTAGATTCGGTTTTTATCGAAGGCAACTTGGCAACATCTGAAGGCTCATACGGCGTTCTTCCTTAGCACGGCAGTATAGCGGAGTTGTTACTTATTTCCGTGCGTAGTTTTTTGCTGGACACACTGCACGGGCGTTATCATGAATGCCTGGAATTGCGCGTTGATAAGCTAGTGCATTTTTCGGTGGCCGACGGCGACAGCCGACCAATCAGTAATCAGCCGCGTTCCCATTCCGAAATGGACCGGATCCCGATCGGCTCCAGACGAGAATCGCTGAGTGCTAGAGATCGCGCGCGCCTGCCCCAACCCCAGCCCCAGCCCCCTCTCTCCCGAGGATTTGGATTTTCACACCCCCGGACGCACCTCACCCCGCCTCGAGAATGATATATTTAACAGTAAGTGTTCTTTTAATTTCTAGTAGTAGATATGTGCATGTCGAAGGCAAAAAGTCAAATCAGGCATTTTGGCAAATGCCTCCTACGCAAACAGTCAAATACTCTTACTTTGATTAAAATTTTGATTTTTTACCCAAATTTTAGACAAAATAGTTCGATGCTCTTGTAACAAAGAATTCTCTGTAAAAATATGCAGCATACAATGGTATTTTAACCGATTTTAAGATCCTGAATGCACATTTTTCATGAAATTTTCAGCACGTCATAAAACAAAGAATTTTTAAAATTTTAAAAATATGTACCAAAGGCATACAAAAGGAAGGAACAAGGAGAGTTCGCGAATTTGAAGAGTTATTCTTCCAAAATATTGAAAAACCGTGAACTCCTCACCATAAACTTACAGAATTCCGTAAACTATGCAAAATTTGACTGCCGGCCTAGGCATCCCGGATAAAAATTGGCAGTGGAATCTGTGTTCCAAAATTCCATAGACCTACGGCCGGCTGTAAGATTTCCAATAGCTTCTACAGCCGACTACACAATCTTTTATAGCCTTTTATAGCCGATGGCGATTAAGGAACAGCCAGGCGATAAAGTGTATGCGAAACGTTACTAATTACGGATGCTAGGACTCAGTGACTTTTTGGAATACTGCTCTCTTTTTGGGCTGTGGTATCTTGATTTATTTTGCGAGGAAAGCTCCGTACTTTTGATGGATGTCTGCCATTACTAATATATTAGAGCGCCTTCAGTTTCGTATGGTACTGTGCAATACCTCTGGTGTGAATTAGTTGCCTCAAGCGCCGTGGCACGCTGCGGTGCGGCGCGGCGCGGCGGGCGGGCAGCCAGCGCAAAACGCGCATTGGCGCCTGCAAACCTAACAGGGATACTTCACGCGTTGCGCAATGCGTGAAGTATCCCTGTTAGGTTTGTAGGCGCCAGTGCGTCGCCGCTCCGCTTATTGTTAGGCTCTAATATTTAATCTGGCGGAGTCAGCGTTATTCAACTCATGATTTTGAAATGTTTGCACATCCTGTATGGATTATTCTCGTTTTAACTGATGAAAAAAAATATGTATTATAGGAAAATGTAACGTGTGTTTTGTTAACATTAAGGTGGTTCCGTATCAAACTTAATGATTTCCAAAGCACACGAATTTCAACACAATTTCTTATAGCCTTCTTATAATCGATGGTAAAAAAGCAACAGCCAGGCGATAAAGTGTAAAGCCCGGCTATAGGAACTATAGCCCAGCTGCATAATTTTTTATCGCTTCGTATAGCCCGGCCGTATGATTTTCTCCGCATTCTACAGCCAGCTATATGATTTTCTGTAGCCTTCTTCAGCCGGCTATAAGAATTCCTATGGTATTTTGAAACGCAGCTCTTATCGCAAATTTTTACCAGAGATTTGATAAAATGCCTGAGTTGACTAATTGCCTTCGACATAAATATGTCGTTCAGGGATTGATTCCCAAACTGCCCGTTCTGTAAATACTTTTTCAAAAATTTGGCATTTTTCCAAAACCAGACGTTTGTCTAATAGGTCTATGTGGATAATGTTTAGTAGTAGATATGTAAATATGTCGTTCAGAAATTGATTACCGAACTGCCCGTTCTATAAATGCTTTTTTACATGAGATTTTGAAGGGGAAACATTTGGCATTTTTACAAAATGAGGCCTTTTCTAGTAGTACATTGAACAAACTAAAAGAGAAATAAATACGGAGAAGGTAGGAATTTTTGTTATTAAGAAAGAAGAAATCCGATTGAGCCGCCATTCCGATTTTTACTAGAAACAGTTGAAATTCGTAGGTTGAAAGAGGAGATTGAGAGGATATGGACGTAAACGAGCCTTTAGATAACAAAAGAGTTAGAATGAGAAAGATATGGGGGAATAAACTAGACTTTGAGCTTAGCGGAGCGCGTGAAATTAAAATTTTTAAAAGGAAGTGTATTAAAGGGAGGGTCTTGGAGAAAAAGGATGGGCGAAGGAAGAGAACGTTTTCGGCTCTCATGAATACGGGGAGTTTCAATAAAATTCAGCGGGACTCCTCGAGACTTGACGTGACGAGATGCAGGGCGAACTGACGTGTCGAAAAGTGACGTGAAGTGCCCACCAAACGCTTTGAACATCTGCTCTCCAAGACGCGAACGGACGGACGGGCTCCCTTTAAGCTCTCCGAAAGCTCTCGGGAAACTTTCAACTTTCCCGGGTCCGGCGTTCGAAATTACGAAAGTTCTCCGTCTTTGAAGTAGTATACACAATGAGACGCCGAAGCTGATGGACTAGAGAGTAAGTTCGTTAGCCGACAAGCGCGAGTAAATTGTTTTGACAGGTCTTTCCCAGGGAAAATGGACGTTAAGTCGGTTAAGTACTCGCAAATTGTTAGTAAAACCGAGTGAATTGCGTTAATGCTCTCTTCTCTTTGCAGGCGATCGCGGTTATCTTAACCTCGGTTCTGGCGGACACGCGCTATGGGTGAGTTCCAATCAAATTTAAAAATCCACGGCCAAAGTGCGAAACCACTTATCTCCGTTGCGGTATTTCAAAACGTTTATTCGTATTTCATTTATTAAAGAAAAAACAACCCAACTTTATTGCTTGAAATTAAAACAAAATGTTTTTCTAAGCAAGAAGGAGAATGAAGGAAAATTTCAAAAAATTACGTTGACTCGTATTCCAAAGAAAAAATAAAGTATGAAAGGAAGTCTGCAATATCGCAAATCACCGGTGAAATTACAGAAATGCGAAAAACGGTTTGTGGCGCTGCAGACTTCCGTTCGTACTCTATTTTCTACAAGGAAAACTACTAAACGTCTTTTTCTTTGGAAAGTTCTAGTGATTTTTCTTCTGTACTTGAAGAATATTCTGTGAAAACAAGCCATGATGTTGGTTTGGTCTCCTCATAAAGCGTAAATTAAATCGGAAATTTCGAAACACCGCAACCGAGATTCAAATTTTTGCAGTTCCGCCGTCGAAATGGAGATACGTGGTTTCACCCTTTGGTCATCGATATTAGTTTTCCCTAGAAGTGATCACAAAGTCGAGTGTTTGATACTTTATGGAGGCAATCACGTGTGAGTCTGAGGCAGACTATGAGGTGAAAAAATGAGTTGCTTTTGAAGCTAAGTGACGTTAATTCAAGGTGAGAACATCGAAAAAGTCTGGAATTAACTCTTTGAAATTCCGATTTTGCGATGGAAGCAAATTTAGAAGTCCCCGTTCTCTCTGTTATGACTCTATATGCATTGGTTGGTGAAAAGATCATAAAATGGATTGCATTTTGCAAAAAGGAACCACGAACATTACAATATTGCTAAGATTGTGCAGCTCTTTTTGTCTTGGAAGGAATACCCAATTATCCCTAAACAGTTTCTATTTAACTCGCTAAAAACTGTAAATTTAGGACAAAAATTACCATGTAAATATCACACTATTTCAGGATATAAATCGTCATATTGCAATGGGTGAAGTTGCACAATCTTAGCAACATTGCAATGCTCCTGCTTCCTTTTTGCAAAATGCAATCCAAATACTGATGACAATTTTCGATATTCGAATTCTTTCAAAAGACATTCAAGGTGGATACGTTCTTCGGAAACACCCCGTATTCGAGATTGCCTTTTCCGATTGCAGGCGATTCTGGCCGGAAGAGCCGACGACTCAAGGCGAGGACGAGATATCGACGGACGCGATGGACATGAGCGGGAACTCGACGCAAACAGCCCTCGAGGACCAAGCCACGACAGTGATAGACGACCTCCTCAACCTCCTCGACAAGGCGGAGCAAGGCGCCGGCGGCATGGACGTGGCTCCCGAGGACCCGGCCGCCTCCACGAGCAGCACCACCGCCTCCACCACCTCCACGACCTCCACCACGACCGCCATGACGACCTCCACGTCCACGGCCACGTCCACGACGACGACGACAACGACGACGTCGACGGCCCGGCCGACGCCGGCGCGGACCCCGGCCACGACGACGGCGGCGGCGCCGTGGTACAGCGTCGGGGCCGAGGGGGCGTCCACGGTCGGCGTCGGCGGGGCCCGCCGGACGGCCTACCACCTCGTCCCCAACGGCGCCAACCCCGGGCGCCGCCCCCCCGTCCACCCCAACGCCCTCACGGTGAGAGAACACATCGCAATGCTCTACCGACAAATCACGGGGAAAAGCGGGAAAGGTCAGTCTTACCCATGGTGTCCAGAATTTCAACAGAATGGACCACTAGACAAGGTACAAATTTCAGCATTCTGATACATGTTTCCTAACCAAAATTTCACGTAGAACACGATACGCACGACAAAAATTACCGAAATCAACTCCTTACGAAGATATTTAATGAGTCTTGATGCGTGAATTGAAACCACTCGCTCATGAAAACTCAATGCTCTACGTGATTCACATCGCGCGCTAAACGTTATCATAAACGTCTCAGCGATATAAGAATCTGGCAACCTCAGTTTTGACGCTTTGGCTCAGCTATAGCAAATTGCTTATAGTTTGAACGACACACGGTGGGAAATGAACATTGCTCGATTGAGAAGCTTTCTGAAACCATTGTAGTGCGCGATTTGACTCAGGTAGAGTTTTGAGTTTTTTGTGAGCGGCCAATTCAAATTCCTCGTAACTGATGTGAAATAAAAACATTAATATCTTCGCTAAAAGTTGGTTTCAGTAACTTTTGTTGCGCGAATCGTGCTCTATTTTCGTTCCGAAACATGTATTAGAATGCTAAAATTCGTACCCTGTCTAGTAGTCCATTCAACGCAGAAAACCAGAAGCATTTCTAGAGAGAATTATTTTCATTGGAAAATGTAATGGTTTTTAAGAGTGTGTGGATTACATCATGCTCGAACAACCCTTTGCAATCCTTTCGAGCAAGGTTGCCAAAATTTTTTCATGCACGAAAAGTATATTTCACATTAAAATATTGAGGGGGGGGGGGGTCTTTTCAGCACGACTTGATAACTATGCTCTTGCGGAAAATTATACAAAGAGCAAATGATGAGCACAAAATTATTCAAGTTTAAGTGAAGCAGCGTGGGATTACGAATGTTTTACACTCTCTGGATTGCGTTTATGATGAAGAAGCTGGACAAAATTTCTACTAAAAATTGAAATTTCTAAACTTCATTTTGAGACACACGCGACTCCTGACTTTTTACAACTTTTGTAACATACAATGCGGAATGGAGAATTTGCACACAATTTTTTCATTGCTTTATCTACGAGTGCTCAAAGAGATGATTTCGGAATATTTTTCATAATTTTTTCCCGACACGGGAAATACAGTAAAAGTAGATTTTAAAAAAAGAAAATGCAACATACAATGACGTCATCTGGCGGCATTTCCCATTTAAACACATGTATTTTAGCTCATTAGATCATTTTGTCATATCTCCTCCAATTATTGTTCAATTTATGCACCAAGGGAAAGTTTTACAAATTTCCAACATCTGCAAATGGGTCCGTTGCGCTGGTCACAGAATCGTGTTTTGATGCCTGATTCTTGTAGATTAGCTAAAAATAATAAGATATGTCCAAACGGCAACACTTTACGTTCAATATAGACCGAGATATATCGCCCTTTGAAAAGTCGGGTTGAGTGACACTTGGTTTCTTCCACCTTGCTTTTATCTGTATGTGTGACGCACATTTGCAGCAGTTACTTAACGGGAAACTCGGATGAAAGAAAGGTGGAAGAAACCAAGGGTGTCACTACCGCGGTGGATGGCGTTAAAACCCGACTTTTCAAAGACTCTCTGTTAATCTCTGTTAATATTGAACGTAAAAAGTTGCTGTTTAGACAGATCTTATTAGTTTTGGCTACTCTACAAGAATCAAGCATCAAAACACGATTCTGCGACCAGCACAATTGACCCATTGATTATTCGTCCGTTATTATCAAGGATGTCTCAGGGGCTTCACACTATAAAAGCGTAGCATTAAGGACCTGGTCTTGGTTTTTTGCAGACGAGTCGAGCGCACCCTAGCGGAGGGCGGGTGAACCAGGTGCCGAACCTCATCCCGAGCCAATGGACGGTGAAGAACCGGACGGCCTACGACCTCCAGACCACGCTGCGCTCCCAGGGGAAGCGAATCCCACTGCTCAAGGACCGGGACCTTGAGCGGGCGGCCACGGCTCGGGCCGCGCAGTGGCCAGGGCGTGGAGCTCCGCCGCCGCCCACCCGCACCACCCAGCACACCCCCGCCCCCGCCCCCAGCGTTTCCGCCAGGATATACTACAACGACCTCGAGTACAGGCTCTGAAACGCTCCCAATTTGTACAAAGTGTAAAAATATCAACACCAAATAGAGAACAGCTGATGTAAAGGTAGGCTATACATCAATGGAGATGTTGCATGTGTGAGGAATTTGCGATTTGACTTTTGATTCTTATGTAAAAGGTCACGAGAAACACGATGGTGCCACTGGTTTTCTCTGAAATCGTCTCCCAAGCTCAAAAAAAGCTCTCAAAGTGAGGCCAAAATGGAGGGGATATCCCACCCTACCCTGAGAGTCCACCTCTACATCAAAACAATCTCTCCATGCGAAGATAGGGAGCAAATACATTGACAGGGCTGCCACTTCATTTGGGGACTCCAAAACTGAAAACGCGGCAACACTGCTAATGTATTTGCTCCCAATCTTTGCATGGAGAGTTTGTTTTGATGTAGAGGTGGACTCTCAGGGTAGGGTGGGATATCCCCTCCATTTTGGCCTCACTTTGAGAGCTTTTTTTGAGCTTGGGAGACGATTTCAGAGAAAACCAGTGGCACCATCGTGTTTCTCGCAAACTTTTACTTAAGAATCAACAGTCAAATCGCAAATCCCTCACACATGCAACATCTCCATTCTCGGTGGTTCCTGAGAATTTCAAAGAATTGGATTGAAATTTGCAAAAAGGAACCAAGAGCATTCTAATGTTGCTAGGATTGTGCAAGTTACATGCTTTGCAATAAAATTACTGAAATCGTGCAAACAATTAAAGTTACCACTTACCAAGGTCATTTTCGTCGTGATTTTTTAGTTCATTCGAAGTAAAGATGAAACTTGATTAGATGATCAATTTTAAGTTGCAAGGTAAAAATGGTTGCACAATCTTAGCGACGTTGGAAATGCTCTTGGTCCTTTTTTGCGAAATGCAATCCAATTCAAAGGCGGGTAAAATTATAATTATAGCCCACTTGGACTACATTTTCCAAATAGGGGCTACTATTTTGACTCACTCATAAAAAAACACATATCTGCATGGGGAAAGTAGGGCATACTAGTTATTTCTCCAGTGAGACAAAAATAGCAGTTCCTTATGGCAAAATTCAATCCAATCGAGGTTATTATGATACGTTATCGATGCCTTCTGAGTTTCCTCACGGTACAAGAGTCTTTTCCTAACTTTTTTCTCTGTGATTTACCAAATGTAACTTTATTGTGAATGTAAAATATTCATCCCTGACACTTTCGTCTTTTTCCCTGACTTTTTTAAAATGCCCTGCCATATCCCGGTTTCCCCGGTATCCCCTGACTGTGACAACCCTGGAATAATCGACGGTCGGTATTTCCCCGGCATTTGAAACTACGGTAAATAATCGATTATTAAGGTGTTTAATGCGAACACCCTGTTCATCGATCCTTTTCCATAGGTTCAAACGGCAGACCAATCGATACATCGCAAAACACGCCACGCCACTGACCGGCGAATGAATGCATCTCGACCGAGGCGTCTGCATTTCCGCAGGAGGATTTCCACCTCGGATGCTGATATCACAGGTGATATCACCGTTAACGTTAATGCGTCACTACGCAATCGCGGTAACGGAATGCTCAGCGTTGCCGGATCTCACTCGAAACCCCCGGCTCCCGGCCGAGGAACCACCACCTCATTCCACCGGATCGGCAACGGTCCTTTTAATCATAGCGCTAATATCTCGCTCGCTCGGCTTTTGTTTCGGTTCCGCGCAAAATTGCCAGATTGTGCGATCAAAAGCAAATATTAACTTGGGTTTAAATCTGAAAACTCAGCACTACCTGGCAACTATGGTTCCGCGCGTCGCGCGTCGGGCGCAAAATTTGATCGCGGCGTTTGCGACAAAGCTCAGAAAATTCCTTTGTTCCGCGGCCTCCATTGTTACGGTTCACGCGGACTTTGAGAGACCCCCCTCCCCCCCACGACCCCTCTCGGGCGGTCGGCTGAGCTTTCCTGGTATGCGCGCTGCGCTACTAATCGCTCATGTGTGAGTAAAAGCTCGTAAACTCGTAACGTGTGAACGAGCCGTGCGTAGCGTGAACATGAAAGCTCCGGGGAACGATACGGAAACGAACGGGAACGCCGCCGCGCTGAGGAGAAACGCCGTATGAGCCATCAGGCGTTGCCGAATTTCCTTCGAGAAACGATGGATTTTTAGGAAAATTTTCGATTATCCGTCCTTAGATTTTGCGGAGGTTTTCGTTCAAAATTTGTTCTAAAAAGTCTGAAAATCTCAAGGAAAAATATTCATAACTATCTTCAAAAACAAATGTTTTCTTCGCGGAAATTTGGCAACATTCGAATAATCATAAGGCGTTTTTCCTTCACACGGCGGAACCGTGTTTGTNGGGGGGGGGGGGGGGTGTTGGAACTTTCAGTCCCGGCCCCGGCTGCGCTGCGAATTTCCCGCGACTTCCGCTTCATGCGGGGTTTGTCAAAAAACAAAAGGGTCAGTTGCGCTGGTCACAGAATCATGTGTTGGTGCTTGATTCTTTTGAATTAGATAAAACTAATAAAATTGGTAGAAACAACAACTTCCTTCGTGCAATATTAACCGAGATATTGCGCTTTGAAAGATTCGGTTTATGAAGTCATCCACCGCGGAAGTGACAACTTTGGTTTTTTCCACCTTGCTTTCGTCAGTCGTGGAGACTCACGCTTGTGAATCCGGAATTTTACCGATTTTTAAGGGTTCTCACGGATTTTTAACTGTATTTGAATTGGGGAAGTGGAACGATGGGGTTAGTACGAAGTAATAGACCGAAAAACACGAGTAATCAAGTCTGGATGTTGATTCATGGGTAATTTAGAAAATCGCACACCCTCAACGCTGATTTCGAGAGTTGGTTAAAAAAATCTCGAATTTCGGTACCTTTTCACCGAGGATACGTACCTTTTCCGCATTTCCGTATAGAGCTTCCGAAATTCGTGGTTTTTCAGTGTATCCGTACTTTTTCCGTTGAGTAGACACCCTGTAAATTTAAAAATCAGCCCGATGCTCTACGGGTGGATTCCTGACTCGTGTAACGCAAAGATTCTTTACTTAAATTAACAAACAAGGTTGCCACAGCATTTAGAGGATGAAATTCCCTGACATTTCCCTGATTTTCCCGACACATTTTGGTGAAATTCCCTGACAATTGAGGATACGCCAGATGGTTAACAAGACGTTATTAGAAATAGTTTTCTTGGCAAAATGTGTTTTCCGAAACGTCGAAATCATTGTAGGCAGTAAATAAAGGCGTCCGAACCATTTTTCCCTGAAATATTCGTCATTTTCCCTGACACTTCCAGGTTTTCCCTGACTTTTTGAAATTCCCTGACATTTCCCGGTTTTCCCGTTAATCACTGGCGCTTCCAGGTTTTCCCTGACTTTTTAAAATTCCCTGACAATTCCTGGGTTTCCCGTTATTCCCTGATATTTCCAGGTTTTCCCTGACGTTTTAAAATTCCCTGACATTTCCCGGTTTTCCCGTTATTCCCTGACTGTGGCAACCCTGAAGAAGGCAACAAGTGGCTAGGCCACGGCTGGATCGAACCCCGAGGAAGAATACAGGGACAAACCCCCCGATACAACACTCTAACGAACAACTAGTTGCTCACCACTCTTTGACTACGTCTATAAGGACGGTGGCGCGGCGGCGGCGGCTCCACCGAAAAAAGGGAGGAAAATAAGCGGAAAACATGGAGAAAATGTGAAACGAGTAAAGTGACATTCTAAGGCTTTGAGTGGCTCACTTCAAACACGAGAGCCTCTCTTGTCGCTACTTCTCCCGGCTAGATTGCGCCCGACGACATACGTGCCGCCTCACATTGCCGCACACAGAGCGGCACGCCTTGTTGCTTCGTATCGAATTGAAGGCGCTTGAACGGAGCGAAAAACGCCGCGCCGACCACGACGACACACAGTGGATCGAGTCAATGGAAGAGGTCGCACAAAACTGGGAAACTTTCAACGCTCATAACTCCGTTTATACAAAACTTAGAGGTTCTAAAAGAGGTTTCATTGGTTTCCTCGTGAAGTTTTCTGCAATAAGCAGTAAGCACCCCTTAAAGTTTAAAAAGTGACGAAAAGAACTTAAAAATTTGCGGTTTCAGTCAAAAATTTCATGTCTGACCTCTTTAATTGATTCGATCTCCTGTGCGTCGACGGGATAGGTGTTCCGCTGTGCTGAGTAAAAACGCCCCAAGCATTCGAATGTTGCAAAATTTCCTCCCGAAAATATTTATTTTTTAAGAAAGTTATCAATACTTTTTCTTGAAAATGTCAAAATTTTTAGGTCAAATAATGAATGAAATCCTGCGAGAAATCAGAAGAGAAAAATTCCAAAATTTCCCCGAAAATTCGTGATTTGTCGAATGAAATTTGGTGACGCTCAATAGCGCATACGTCGTTTTCACTTAGCACGGCAGTGTTGAAAAATGGCATACGGAGTTGCGTGATGAGGAGGAGCGAGCGGGGGCTAAACTATCGTGCTAGGGAAAAACGCCGTATGGGCTTTTAGACGGTGCCAAATTTGCCGTGAATTTTTTCCGTATTTTCTCCGATAACCGTTTATTTCCCACGAGTTATTCTCGCTTTCAGATCATTTAGGTTTCAAATCGTAGGACTTATCCCGACCTGTTGACATGCGTAGTAACCAAATTTCCCTGCTTTAACCTTGATTTTCTCATAACTCGTCAGCACGTTTTAATTTATTTAAAACTCACTCTTTCTCCTCACAATCCACACAGAGTAACTCTCTAGACTTTCTTATTCTCTTAAATTAAGAAAAGTACAAATAAAAGCATTCCTCAGTAAAAAGTCATTTTTGCAAACGTGGGCTTTTCAATATTGTTATAGAAGTTTCCATAAGGCGCTTCCTATGCTTCGCCAGTGGCGTGGCGTGCAGCTTTGCGATATATCGATTGACCTATCATTCAAACGTATGGGAAAGGATCGATCAACAGCGTGTTTGCAGCGAGCAGCTGAATAATCGATTCTTTACCACGGATTCAAATGGGGAAATATCGATAATCGATCATTTACGCCACGCCACTGGCTTCCGGACCGGTCATCAAAATCCGGCACTTTTTCCGGATCCGTC